AATGAGACCCTGTCTCAAAAAAATTTTTTACCGTTTTAGTTCTTAAACTTATCTGTGTGATTCATTTTGAATTCATTTGCATGTGGATATCCAGTTGTTCAAGCACCATTTGTTAAAAAGGCCATCCTTTCCTCATGTGTTTTCTTAGATTACATGTTAAACTGCTTATTCTGTTCCATTGTTTAATTTTCTACATCAGAGGCTCCATTTATAGTTGAGTGATTCTCCTTGGTTTTATCTATATCTGTCATTTTCTCCCTGATCCTTTTTTGACCCATTCTTTCCATTTCATTTTGGTCACTTTTCTTATTTCTGTCCTTATTTCCATGCCCCGTAATTGTCTGCAGGGTCTAATCTCCTCCCGTGGACTACTTGTGTTACCTTCCCATCTCTGTTGTTTTTGTTTTTTCTTCTACTGTTTTCTGAGGTTTGCGGGCTCACGTTGCCTCATGTGCGTCCTGAGCTCCTTCAGGGAGTGTATTTTTGCTGGCGCTTTCTAAGATCTGCTTCTCCTTAGTGTGCTTCCTGCTGTCTGTCTTGCTAGTAACATCCCCCAGGTGGCTGCTGCTGCTGTGCTTCACCCCTCAGCTTCGGTGGCTATCACAGTTGCTTTTGGCAATCCTTACGTGTATTTTTAGTCTGCAGATTATATTTGTCCCTTGTTTTGCTGAAAATTGAGTTACTTTCCTTCTCCTTGTTGCTTTTGTAAGTTCTCCAACAGTAGGAGAGGAAAATTGCTGTTGTGTATCCTTGCACTAAGAGCCCCAGGCATGCATCTCTGCTTATTTATCATTCTAGTCTTTCACTCAAAGGCCAGGATCTGAAACTGATGTCTTCCAAAAATTCTGGAAAATTATATTTTCCCTTTGCAAATTGCCTTTTCTCCTCTATATATCCTTCTGGAACTCACTCTGTACTCCGTGGACCTTCTCATTCTGTCCTTCAATTTTTTTTTTTGAGATGGAGTCTGGGTCTGTCACCAGGCTGGAATGCAGTGGCCTGATCTCGGCTCACTGCAAACTCCAACTCCCAGGTTCAAGCAATTCTCCTGTCTGAGCCTCCTGAGCAGCTGGGATTACAAGCACATGCCACCATGCCCAGCTTATTTTTGTATTTTTAGTAGAGACAGGGTTTCATCTTGTTGGCCAGGATGGTCTCGATCTCCTGACCTTGTGATCCGCCAGCCTCGGCCTTCCAAAGTGCTGGGATTATAGGTGTGAACCGCCGTTCCCAGCCTGTCCTTCATATTTTTAAATCTCTTCCACATTTGTCATCTTGTCCTTTCTCTGGGCTGCATTCTAGATTATTTCTTCTAGATCTCTGCAGAAAGTCCTTAGGTGACCATTCTATTTAAAATTACTCGGCATCTCCCTTTTTCCCCTTCCCCACTTTTCTCCTTAGCATCTTCCATCTTTGACATACTGTTTTTTACATGATTTTGGGAATTTTGTCCCACTATTTTTTAATTTCTTTTTTTTTTTTTTTTTTTTTTTTTTTTTTTTTTTTTTTTTTTTTTGAGACGGAGTTTCGCTCTTGTTACCCAGGCTGGAGTGCAATGGCACGATCTCAGCTCACCACAACCTCCGCCTCCTGGGTTCAGGCAATTCTCCTGCCTCAGCCTCCTGAGTAGCTGGGGTTACAGGCATGCGCCACCATGCCCAGCTAATTTTTTGTATTTTTAGTAGAGACGGGGTTTCACCGTGTTGACCAGGATGGTCTCAATCTCTTGACCTCGTGATCCACCAGCCTCGGCCTCCCAAAGTGCTGGGATTACAGGCTTGAGCCACCGCGCCCGGCCTATTTTTTAATTTCTTAAGTAAACTTTCAATTCAAGTAGAACGTACCTATGGAAAAGTACACAAACCAAAGTGTCAAGCTCAGTGAATTATCACAAAGCAAACATGCCCATGTGATGGCATTCAGATCACAGAGCAGCAGCACTCCAGAAGCCCCTATGCCCACCCCACCCCACCAAGGCAGCCACTCCTCATCTCCATGGCATGACCATAGTTTACTACAGCCTTGAACTCCTGGCCTCAGCCTCCCAAAGCACTGGGATTACAGGCAGGAGCAGGCATGATCCACCATGCTCTGCCTCTTTAAAAAAAAAAAAAAAAAAAAGCCAAAACAAAAAAGCTTTATATAAAAAAATCATATCATGACTGGCTGTGGTGGCTCACGCCTGTAATCCTAGCACTTTGGGAGGCTGAGGTGGGTGGATCACCTGAGCTCAGGAGTTGGAGACCAGCCTGGCCAACATGGCGAAACCCCATCTCTACTAAAAATACAAAAGTTAACTAGGCATGGTAGCACATGCCTGTAATCCCAGCTACTCAGAAGGCTGAGGAAGGAGAATTGCTTGAACTGGTGAGCTGCGATCTCAGCTCACCACAACCTCTGCCTCCTGGATTCAGGCAATTCTTCTGGTTTCTTTTGCTCACCATTCTATTTGTGCAGTGTGTTCACAGATCTAGATGACATGGAATATAGTCATAGCTCATTCACTGACTGCTATGTATTATTCTATTGTGTAAACGTACCATAATGTATTTATCCTTTCTGCTACTGAGATTTTTGAGACTTTATTTATTTATTTATATTTATTTGTTTTTTTAGAAGGAGTCTTGCTTTGGCCCAGGCTAGAGTGCAGTGGTATAATCTTGGCTCACTGCAACCTGTGCCTCCCAGGTTCAAGCGATTCTCCTGCCTCAGCCTCCCAGGTAGCTGGGATTACAGGCACCCACACCACGCCTGGCTAATTCTTTTTTTTTTTTTGGAGATGGAGTCTCACTCTGTTGCCCAGGCTGGAGTACAATGGTGCCATCTTAGCTCACTGCAGCCTCTGCCTCCTGGGTTCAAGCAATTCTCCTGCCTCAACCTCCTGAGTAGCTGGGATTACAGGCATGTGCCACCATGCCTGGCTAATTTTTGTATTTATAGTAGAGACGGGGTTTCACCATATTTGCCAGGCTGGTCTCCAACTCCTGACCTCATGATGTGCCCACCTTGGCCTCCCAAAGTGCTGGGATTACAGGCGTGAGCCACCATGCCCAGCCAAGAGATGTTTTGAGAGAGATTTTGGCTGCTTCCAACTTCTGGCTATTATAATGAGAGCTGCTATGAACATTTTCCTCCATGTGTCTCAATGATGCTATATATGCCCTTCTCTTGGGTGTATACCCAGGAGTGGAGTTGATGGGTTAGGAGTGCATACACTGGTTCTTAGCTGCTCACTTTCCTGGAACTTCGTGGGCATTCTCTGAGGTCTGGCTAAAGTTTCATTCTCCAGAGAGGATTGGCCTTTGCTTCTTTCAGTTTCCTGGGGCACTGCCAAGCAGGGACCACTTTATTTTTATTTATTTATTTATTTATGACCATTTATTTTATTGATTGGTTGAGACAGGGTCTCACTCTGTCACCCAAGCTGCAGTGCAGTGACATGATCATGGCTCGTTGTAGCCTCAAACTCCTGGGCTCAAGCCCACCGCGGCTTCCTGAGTAGCTAGGACTACATGTGTGAGTCGCCATGCTTGGCTAGTTAGAGACAGGGTCTCACTATGTTACCCAGGCTGGTCACAAACCACTTGAGACCACTTTAAATTAAATTTTGTATTGGACATTCTTCAGACTACACAGATCACATGAACTCTGAATGCCAATGTCCATGAGGCCCCACTTGCTACAAATTTTGGGGAAGATTTTCTTCCCCCTCCACCCAGAGAGCCACACTGGAGACAGCCAAGTTTCCCCACTGTCCCTTCCTGTGTGATGGGTCAGTTCTTAACCCCCAATCCCAAGGGTTTAGGGCTTAGAGCACCTGTTCTGCGTGGTGTATTACTATTGTAACAAAGTACTACAAACCAGGTGGTTTAGACAACAGAAACTAATTCTCTCACAGGTTTGGAGGCCACAAGTTCAAAGTCAGAGTGTCAGTGTTGATCCCTGCTGAGGGCTCTGAGGGAAAATCTGGCCACAGCTCCCTCCTGGCTTCTGGCAGTTGCTGAGGTCCTTGGTGTTCCTGGGCTTGCAGCTGCGTCCCACCAGTCTCTGCCTCCGTCCCAACATGGGGTCTCCCTCCTCCTCACACGGTGTCATCCTCACTGTGTCTCCCTTCTTATAAGGACACGAGTCATTAAGGGCCCACCCTGCTCCAGTGTGACCTCATCCTAACTCATTACATCTGCAAAGACTCCCTCTCCAAATAAGGCCACATTGTAAGGTCCTGGGGTTTGGGACTTGAGTACACCTTTCCAGGGGGAAACAACTAGCCTGTAGCACATGGGTCCCTGTTAGACTGCCCAAGCTGACCAGCCCTAGGCTTTCTCTTCTGCCCCTTGGTCTCGTCGTTGCCAAAGAAAAGCACAAATTCTCCAAGAACTTGCCAGAAATTTGGAGAACAAAACTCAGCTTTGGCTTTCGCTTGCCTCACAGATTTTCTGCATATTAAATGTTTATTTTCTGTGGATTTCTGCCTCTAAGGCCGACTCAGCAGCAGTGTGGTTCAGAATCCTTTATGTTTGGTCTCACTTCCCCCTCATTTCAATAAGGCACATGGCGAGGGAATCCAGTCTGTGGCACCCATCAGTGGTGTCTATCTACACTTGCTCCCCCTCCCCCCATTCCACCCAGAGGCCTGCCCTGTGCCCCTGCCCCTGGTGTCTCACCTGAGATTCAGAACCCAGGGCTCTGGAGCTAGGTGCCTGCGTTATGGCCGCCTGGCTGTGCCACCGCAGGGAAACTGCTTCCCATTGCTAGCCTGGATTTTCCCACTGTAAACTGGGGACTCTGGAAGACCATGTGACCATGAAGGGTCAAAGTGCACATATCCTCAGTTGGGCCCCAGCCCAACCTCCCAGCTGGAGGGGTCTAGTTAGCATTGTTAGCAGATCGCATCTTTGAGGGCGAAGTGGTCCAGGGAGATCCTTGGAGGGGACACAGTGAGAAGAGGCCTCCCAGAATCCCTCAGACACCCCCTCTCTCCGTTTGTCTTTGTGTCTCAGGGAACATCTACCATTATGTGCCCTGGTATGACACCAAGCCTGTCGTGGCTGTGACCTCCAACTGGGAGGACATCAGCTTCCGAATGAACTGCCTTAACCTCCTCCACTTCACTCGGGACCGCCTGGTGAGTGGTGTGGGAGCTTATGCAGGGAAGGGTTCAGTGTGGCTGGGAGACAGGAAACTGCATTGCAGTGGCAGGAAACTGGTCACACAGCTCATTCATGCATTCATTCCACACTGTTGAGAAGAACGTGCCAGAAGCAGGGCTAGGCACTGAAGACACAAAGATGATTAAACACGGCCCTGTTCTTACTGTCTAGGGAAGTTGGACATGCAGGCAGTGACCATGCAGTACAACTAGGGCTATGATGGAGACGCAGGTACCAAGAGCTATAGGGTCAGAGAGAGAAGGTGGGGAGAGGAGAGGAAGAGAGGATAGTCAGGGGAGGTGTGCACAAAAGAGATGGCGCATCAGCAGGGTTTTGAAGAATACATAAGAGTTTATTAGGAGGTGGGTGGGGGTAGAAGGGAATAACATGTGTAAAGCCATGGCAATGTGCTAGTTTTTGAAGTTCGGCATGGCCGGGGGAGGTGATGTGAAGATAAGGCCATAGAAGCTGGAAGGAGTGAGATCACAAACGGTCTCAAGTGCCTGTTAGGAGTGTAGGTCTTGGAAGCCACCTGGGACTGGCATCTCCAGCATGACTTTCTCACGCCTATGTGGAGGTCAGGGGTCTGCACTGCTTCCCAGTCTTACCCTATCCCGACTTCTTGCCACTTGTTTCTTCTGTTGGGTAGCAGGAAAGGTGTCGGGGGTTTCTAGCCTCGGGGCTGTAGATAACCTTGAACTGATAGGTTCTGGCTGAAAACGTCTTGGGCCAATCAGATCTGTGGCCTGCCCAGCTGGGCTCCATGCTGAGGCAGGCTCTCTTACCATTTCTCTCCTGCTGGGCAGAAAGTCAACCTGGACACCCTGAAATCCATTCGGAATCCGAAGGACCCAGCTCTGCTCCACCAGTGGGAGAAACTGCTGAGGGAGCTGGCGGAGGACTGCAAGTAGGAGTGAAGGCACTCCTGGAGTGCTGGCCTGGAGCTGAGCTAGATCCAGGCCTGGGGGCTCAAAGCAGTGTCCTGAACACCTCCTCCCACCACCTCCTCAAGGAAGAGCACTGCCCAGACCTCTCCCCAGCGAGAAACCCCAACAGTTGCTTCTCTGTTCCCATTCAGGCCCCTCGACTGCCCCATCAGAATGGTCCCTGCTGCCCCACACCCATGCCCAAGGCGCCTACCAAGCCAGCCTATCCCCTTCCTCCAGACAAGCCCGCACAGCCCCATCTTCCTGCAGGGGCTGGGAGGGTGGGAGAGGGCTGGATGAGAACTCAGGGCCAGATGCACAGCGAGCAGGCTTTCTACGGAGCTATGGAAAGGGCTCCTGGGCCAGGTCAGCAGTGGATGAGGGCAGGATGTTGACGCCAGGAGGGACACGCTGGCCTAAGGCAGGGCAGGGATGGTGACACTGGGAGGCAATAGAGAGATCCAGCCCCTGCTACCCTGTCCCGGCCACAGGCACCCTCTGCCCTGCATGACCGATCAGCCCAAAGCCACCAGTCTGGACAGGAAGAGGTGGCAGCTCCGCAGCCTTCTACTGCAGGAACTGGCCCAAAAGGCCAAGCAAGCCAAGCCCAGGGACATGGTGGCCACGGTGGAGGACTGGCTGTACCGCCTCAACGCTGTGCTCCCCGAGGTGGGTGCCACACACACTGACCCAGAGCAGGGATGGGAACCAGCCACCTAGGGCCTGATAATCTCCTACCTCGGCAGCCCCAGATGGGCCTCCCTGACGTGATGATCTGGCTGGTGGCCAAGGAGCAGCGAGTGGCCTATGCACAGGTGCCCGCCCACTCTGTGCTCTTCTCCCCAGCAGGGGTTCTGCACTCCGGCAGGCTCTGTGGGAAGATACAGACACTTTTCCTACAGGTGGGAATCGGGGTCCTCAAGGGAGGACAGGGCCCAAAAATGCCCCCAGGGGAGGTCCTGAACTTGCAGGGCAGTCCCCATGGGGCCTGTCTCCCTGGTCCCTTAACCACGTGGAATCAGGTGGAAACAGTCCCCAGAGGAAGAGAGGGGTCTGCAGCTGACAGTATGTGGGCTGATGCCAAGTCCATGTACCTCGTAAATGTTCCCCAAATCCACCTCCTCATTAGGTATGGTGGCTCACAACTGTAATCCCAGCATTTTGGGAGACTGAGGTGGGTGGATCACCTGAGGTGAGGAATTCCAGACCACCCTGGCCAACATGGCGAAACCTCATCTCTCCTGAAATACAAAAAATTAGGCGGGCATGGTAGCACATGCCTGTAATCCAAGCTACATGGGAGGCTGAGGCAGGAGAATTGCTTGAACCTGGGAGGCGGGTGTTGCAGTGAGCTGAGATTGCAACATTGTGCTCCAGCCTGGGCGACAAAGCAAGACTCCTTCTCAAAAAAACAAACAAACGAAAAAAATCCACCACCTCCATCATCCTCATGGCCGCCACTTGGTCCAGCCCCTTATCATTTCTTCCCTGGACCATGACTGGGTGATCTCCAGTCATGGTCTATAAGGTTTGGCACCAGCCTAAACACCCTGACCACTATTCTTGTGACCCCCCCTCGGCTGTGACAGTGGCCTCCCTGCTTCTAATCCTCCCAAGGTGCCACCTTGCTGGCCTGGCCCCAGGCCCCTGTTCCTACATGCATTCTCTCTGGCCCATACTCTCAACAGTAAGGACACTCTGGGCTTTCCCCAGCCACAAGTGTACCTGCCCTTTGGCCTCTCCACCAATGTGCAAGGCTCCTTCCATGCCCTCCAAAGTCCTTCACATCTTGCAACAGCCCCTGAAACAAGAATCCTGGCTCTGCATGGCCCCAGGCCAACTCCTGACCCTGCCCAGGCCTTGGTGTACTGCTGCATAGAATGGGCCTGGCAATTAAGATGCCCTCCTCATAGTGGGATGTGAGGATTCAGGCCTACAAGCCACAATGGACAACTGGCACAATGCCAGCACACAATGCCAGCCCATAACAAGCACACAAGGAATGCCCATCAGTCCCATAATCAATGTCCCCACCACTCCCTCTGTGAGGCACTCCCAGCCTCTCTGCTTCATGGCTCCCAGGATGGAGCCACCATGCCCTGGAAGGCAGAACTCCAAGCCATTCACTTATAGCTCCTGCACTCAGCTCAGTGAGGGCCCCACTCCCAGGGCTTGAGGGAAAGGGGCAGGTGTGGCCCACTGAAGGGGTGGTCAGGGTGGTGTTCAGGGTGGTGTTCAGGGTGTTTAGTGCCCTTGTAGGACCGATCGGCCTCTGGCTCAGTACCCAGAGGGTGAAGGACAGAAGGATGTGCTCCCAGCCCACCTCCGGGTCTGCATGTGGCTTGGCAATGTCACAGACAGCAAGAACCTGCAGCTGCTCCGCCAGGGTGACACAGCAGTGTACGCTGAGATGGTGAGTGGTGAACAGGGGCCCAGGGCAGCAGGTGGGGGTGGGGTGGAGTGGCCTTGCAGGGAAGAGATGGCCTCCCTGCAGTGCACGTGGCCTGAGGAGGGAGGGTGAAGCTGCACTAGCCCTGCACTGAAGAGGGAGAAAAATATTTCTGACCAAATCTGATAGAGGAAGAGACTAAAGCAATATCGGACACTGCCAGCTCAGGTCTCTTGTTGATCCTCCATACATGTGTGGTGACAAAGGGGGTGACTGAGTGGCCTTCAGGACCTGTTCCCCCTCTCCCTGATGCAGGTTTATTGAGAGCTTTCTCCCAGTTCATCAACAGCATGTGAAGTGAGCAAGGCTCTGACTTGCAGGGGCCTCATCCATCACCAACGGGGCAGCCTGGGACCCCTGCAGGCCCAGCAGGGTCCCAGGAGGTGAAGGCCCAGAATGGTAGAGGAACAGGATCTGAGGCATCTGCCTGCAGAACCATCAGCCTGGGGAGGAGGCAGGTGGTGTCCAGGAACTGCTCTAGAGCCAGATGAGGGGAGATGTCCTTGGCTTCCCAGGGGAGGAGGTAGCTCAGGAAGCCAGGTGGACAGCAGAGGAGAAATAAGGTTTGAGTGTTAGGCTTTTTAACTTACTGAGTTAAAACATATGTTTGCAGTGTCTAAGTTGCACATGTAGATGGATACATCATAATATGTCTAACCAGCTCCATAGGTCTTGGAGGCACAGAGGCGGAGAGGGGTTCAGGGTAGGGGGCTGGGAGCAGGGCCTGTGTGTCTCAGCAGGCAGCGGAGGACTGGGCTGGTACCTTTGATGCCAGCTGCCTGCTCTCTCATCACTGCAGACCCTGGGGAGCCCAGCCCTTCTACACCACTTGACCACCATTGCCACCTCTGGGCCTTTTCATCCATATTCCCCCTGCTGAGCACACAGTCCCTGTTCCCTCCCCCTCACCCCAGCCCCTCTCCACCTCTGTGCCTCCAAGCCCTAAATAGACATCTCTGTCCACACATGCAGCGTCCACCCCACTCTGCCAGCTGAGTAACCAGGGCAGGGTTGACCTCTGAGCCTCAGTGCTTTCACCTGTGCAATGGGGACATGGCCCTATCTTGCCTGGCTACCACATTTTTAGGATGCCCCTGCAGCTCAGAGTCAGGGGCTCAGGGCAGGCCCATGTCCCTGAACATTGTGCTGGAGGAGGCGGCAGCCCTGACAAGCTTCCCTCCCCTAGTATGAGAATCAAGCCAAGCATAAAGACCAGTGGGGGCAGCAGGGGCTATATCGCTGCCCCAACTTCTCGGATGTCATGGGGAAGAAGACCCTCCCCATGACCGATTTCCAGCCACCCCTGGGATGGCACTGGCAGGACAACTGGACAGTGGACCCTCAGAGGAGGTAAGGCTGGAGGGGGCAGGCTCCACTGGAGGAGATACTTTTCACCTGGGAGGGCCAGTCTGCAGCAGCCCAGAAAGATGGGTACCCAGCCCCTGAGGCTGGTGCCAGAGAGCCAAGGCGCACCAGGCCGAGGGCCCTGCACACCACCCTGTCCTGCATGCCAGGCCCTGCTGGCCCTGCTGGCCCTGCCCTGCCCAGACCAGGTGGGGTTGCCAGGTATGGGAATGCGTGGCCAGCACAGGACACCTCCCTGGGCTGCTCAGGGAGGTGTGTTGGGAACTTGGGGTCTTGCTACCCCTAGACTCCTCCTGGACATAGACATCAACAAGAGCCAGGTGTTGGAGGAGGTATATGAGAACCAGGTCCGCGATGCCAGAGGCACCTGGGGGCCTGCTACCATCCCAAACACAGACGTGGTGAGCAGGGCTGAAGCTGCCTCAGGGGTTGGGGGTCAAGCAAGGCCACCAGGCGGGGCACCTTGGAAGCTGGGGGATCCCAGTGGAAAGAGCTATGGTCTCAGCTCTATGCCATCCCAGGGGTGGCTGGAAATCCATCATGGGGAGGGTCTTGTTTCCTCAGGCTCTCTCAGCACTGATGGGGTGAGGGGTTTGTAGAAATATCTTATATAAAACTGAGAAACAACAAAAGAGTGGTAATGGTTCCTCCTAGGCCTCCTTCAAAGGTGTTGCTTACCCCGAAGGAGAGAATCTGCTTGGGGTACGCTAACCCAGCACTGTCCAGTAGGATTCTCTGTGATGATGGAAATGTTCTGTATCTGCAAATGTGCCCCAAACTTGAAATGGGGCACTAGTGAGATGAAGGACCTAAACTTTGAATTTTAACTCATTTAAGTTAGAGTAGCCCCAGGCGGCTGGTGGCTACTGTATTGGGCAGTGTAGGTTTAACTGATCTCAAAAGCATGAGGAGGAGGAGTTTCCAGCAGGGAAAGGCAGGTCCTTGGTGCATATTCAGTGATGGCTCAGGTTTCCGGAATGAGGTGTGGCAAGCACAGTCTGGCCTGGAAAGGGAGGCCACTGTGGCCACAGCAGGCACGCACACAGGTGTGGGAAGAGAGAGCGTGGCCTCCTACCAGTTCATGTGCCCCTTGCGCACCCTCTCTGTCCTCCTGCAGAATGGACAGCCCATGGAGGCCCGGGAGAACGTGAAGTGCCCCCAAGGCTGGCACTTTAAGAAGGACTGGGCGGTGGAGCTGAACCATGCAGTGGACAGTAAGGGTCAGTCATTTGGTCAGGGTTGGGATCGGGAGAGACCAAGGCCTCAAAATCACAGCAGCCAGCCGGGTGGGATTAGAGCAGCCAAGCCCTCAGTGGGATAGGCCTGAATTCCTGGAGTCCCTGGCCTCCAGAGCTGGGTCTCCAGCATTTCCCTACACATGGGCCCCGGTTTTGAGACAGCATAGGCCCTCAGTGCATCCTGAAGCCTGGCCCAGAGCAAGGCGTGGCAGATGCTGGTGAACAGAAGGCTGTCATGTGGCGGCTGAATTCACCCACAGCAGCTCCAGGGTGGGAGTGATGATGAACTGTAAGTCTCAAGCCCTGGGCTCAAGATGCAAGCTTTGCTGCTTATGGGCTGTGTGGCCTTGCGGGAGTCACAGGACTTCTCTGAGCCCCGCCTGCCTCATTTGTAAGATGGGCAGCTGGGCCCAGGTCACTCAGGTGACACAGTGTAGCCACACCCTCCTTTCCACACCTCAGGGCCAGAGAGACCTAGATGTGAAACCTCTAGGGCCCATCTCCCAGGTCTGTCCAGGCCTCCCAACCTGCGGACACCCAGGGACTCAGAGGCCGTGGTCCCCCAACTGCAGGCTGGGAGTATGGAATGGACATCCCATCCTTGGGCCAGCCCCAGGTCTGGAGCCCTGTAGAGAAGACCTACCACTCATGCCGCCGACGGCGCTGGGCACGTGTGCGTTTCCGGAACCATGGGGAGCTGAGCCATGAGCAGGAGGCCCTCTCCTTCCTGAAGCTGGTGAGGGGCCTACGGGCAGGGGCCCTGGCTGGGACTGAAGGCAGGGCCGCCTTGGCTGCTGCAGGAACATGACCCTGCTCTCCGCCCCACCACAGGGCCTGGTCGAGGACGAGGAGGAGGGCTGGGAGTACGGCACCTTCGGCTCCAGGTTCCACCTCAACCCTCAGCCCCAGAGCAAGTTCCGCCGTCGCTGCTGGCGCCGCAGGCTGGCCCCCAACAAGGACAAGGGCATCGCACCCATATTCCTCCTGGAGGGGTCCTTGGTAAAGCCTCACAGGCTGGGTAACACCTGCCTGTAACCCCTCCTTCCAGAAAAGCCAGGGCCTGAGCTGGCTGGGGCGCTGACTGCGGAGGAAAGGCCCCTGCTCCTCCGGCTTGTGAGGGTGGTGGTGTGAGGGAGGATGGCTGGGCTTGGGCTAGAGGAGACAGGAGCAGCACCCAAGAGCCTCAGGGGAGATTGTCCTGGGTACAGGCTATGGATGTGAAATATGCTGGGAAGGAAGAGGACAGCAAGACATGGCCATTGCGTCTGGACAGACAGTTCAGGGACCCCCTGAGGCAGGACACCCGGCCCCCCAACATGCCCTTCATCTACTGCACCTTCAATAGTAAGCACTGACTTGGGAGTCTGCTTGAGTGGCCCGAGGCCAGAACCCTAGGGCAGGAAGTGGGGAAGGGGTGGGGGCACTCAGAGGGAGTCTCTAGGGTGCTGGGGCAGGTGACAGGCATGCTTCCTCTTTCCCCAGAGCCCCACTACTACCAGCTCTTCTGCTATATCTACCAGGCCCGGAACCTGGTGTCCAACCAGATCCTGACATTCCAAGGTAGGTGGCAGGCAGCCTTGTGCCCGGTCCCTGGGTCTGGTGTCATAGCCGCTCAGCAGTGTAAATACAGAGGCAGGGATAAGGGTGACAAAAATGTAGACCCTTCTCCCAAGCACCTCATGGCCTGGTCTGGGGAAAAGACACAGGGCTGCTCTTGAGGTGCGACCTCAGTGCTGTGGAATAGGAGGAAGCTGAGAGGGCTCCATCCCGGTGGTGGCCACTTAGCTGTGCATGGAAGAGGGAGGAGCTTGGCTGTCAGTACTGGTAGGGCATGAGGGCAAGAGAGAGGGCGACATGCTTGAGAACCATGTGCCACTCATGTTTGGACAGAGGCGGAGGGGCCAAGAGGGCCTGTGCAGAGGATGGCCTGTCCTTGGTCCTGTGAGCATGCCCCACTAAAAGTTTCAGGAGACAAGCCATGTGCTCCAGCCTGGTTGTCAATGTTGTTTGTAGGGAGTGCAGACAGTAGGTAGCAGGGCTCCAAGGATGTCCGCTGGGAACCGTGTCCCTTGGGCTTGACCACCAATATCGAGAGGGCCATGTGACACTCCTTGATGTCAGGCCACTTGCTGCTGTCATAAAAGGGCAGCCACAGGGGCAGGCAGTGGTTCATGCCTATAATCCCAGCACTTTGAAAGGCCAAGACAGGCAGATCATGAGGTCAGGAGTTCAAGACCAGCCTGGCCAACATTGGACACCAGGTTCTGGGCCTGATGAAACCCCATCTCTACTAAAAATACAAAAATCAGCCAGCCATGGTCATGGGCACCTGGAATCCCAGCTACTTGGGAGGTTGAGACAGAACTGCTTAAAACTGGAGGCTGGAGGTTGCAGTGAGCCGAGATCTTGCCATTGTCCTCCAGCCTGGGCAAAAGAGCGAAACTGTCTTTAAAATTAAAAAAAAAAAAGGCATCCACAGGTGGCCTCGTCCCTAGAACTCCTCCAGAGGAGCCCGTGCCCTCCATCTCTGTGAAGTCCAGGTCTCAACCTTGGGAGGCACGTAGAACTCATGGATGGGACCAGATGAGGCCTGGCCTGGTGCTCTGCAGCTGACTCTGAGGGGGCCTCTGGCCTCTGGGCCTCAGTGGCTGCCCTGCCCGACCCTCCTGGACTCCACTGGGTCCAGTGGCTGCAGCAGCAGAGGAGAGGAGAGCCCCCCTTCCCAGCTCAAGACACTGCGCTCTCCTCCCCTACCGCTCCAGGGCCCTTCATTCGAGTGGTCTTCCTGAACCACAGCCAGTGCACCCAAACCCTAAGAAGCTCTGCAGGCCCCACATGGGCCCAGACACTCATCTTCCAGCACCTCCTTCTGTACGAAAACCCACAGGACACCAAAGAGAGCCCGCCACTTGTGGTGCTGGAGCTGTGGCAGCACGATTCCTGGGTAAGGCAGACTGGGCAGAGCAGGAAGGAGAGTGCCTACCTCAAAGAGTGGGAGAGGGGATTTATTTTAGGGGAAAATGTATGGAAAGTGCTCCCATGAGGCCTGACGTGCAGAGAGTACCATGGAAACTCACCTGCCAGCTATCGCCCCTTCCTTGAGAAGCCCAGGTGGAGCTGGGCCCTGCTAGCTTGGCCTCCATGCTTTGTGAACTTCCCCCCTCCAGGGCAAGAAGAGCTTGTGGGGACGGAGCATGTGGCCCCCGCTCGTCTGGCTGGATCTCCAGGACCGGATCCTGCCCCCCATGAGGTGGCACCCCCTTGTAAAGGAGTTGGGGAAGGAAGAGGGCGAGATCTTGGCATCCTGTGAGCTGATCCTTGAGACTGAGGTATTCGGAGAGAGGGCCTGGCTAGGAAGTGTGGTGCTGAGCACCCCTCCCCGACCCACCCCCAGCCAGTGGGGCCAACTCCACCCCATCAGGAAATGCCATGGGGCCCAGGATCCAGCGCTGTGGGCTTGGTGATGCTGGCCTGCCCAACCTCTCCCCTAAGTCCCCCTCCCAGCCCCTACCCACAGGGCTCCGGGCTCTTGATGAGGCCTCTGAGGGACCTGCTTGAGGTGGAGGTAAGGGCAACAGGACCAGCCCAGAGGACCTCATGCTCCCTGCCCCTCTGCCAGAAGCTGAGAGAGAAGCAGCTGCCGATCTTAAGCATTCCCTGGAAGAATGGGGCATACACGCTCCCCAAGAACATCCAGCCCACGATAAAGAGGATGGCCATTGAGGTGCTGGCGATGTGGGATGGGAACGGTGGGCAGGGCAGGTCGGGGTAGGGGTCTGGAGTGCGCTGCAGTTTTGCTGGTCCTGCCTGACTATGGGATCCAAAGCTTGCACCCCAAGAAAGACTACCTGGGAGTTGGAGGGAGACAGGAGAGAAATGAAGAGGCTCTGCTGTAACACTGTATATCATTTAACTGCAAACCTCTGCAGTGAGGAGTAGGCAAAGGGCTGTAGCATGTGTGATCACATTTCGGACTCACGCTGCCCTGAGCAGTAGGGACTACTCTTCAGAGAAGGAAATGGAGGCTCCGAGAGACAATGCATTCCATGCACAGTGACACAGGGACTAAGTGACAGGGTCGTTTAGGCCCAGCCCTGTCTGACTCCAAATGCCAGGATGTTTCTCACCTCTCTTCTGAGAGTAGCATGCGGGGTCCTCACTCAGAACCTGTGTGCCCTGCCACAAATCTGGCAAAGAGTACAAGGTGGGTTAGGCCTCTGGGGACTGGAGGCTTCCCCAGGATCAGGCAACTTGGCTGGTTCCTACTTTGGGCCCTGAGGCGGCCCTCCCGAGTCAGGGTGCAGCTATTTCCAGGCAGGGTGCCAGGTCACTGAATGGCTATGGGGTCCTCAATGAGCTAGATGGCATAGGTAGGGCCCTAAGAAATCCAGGTACTTCCTACTTCTGGGGGCCTCAGAGGCAGTCGGCCTCAAGAACTTACGCCTGAGAACTGATGAGGCCAGACAAAGCAGCGGGTGAGGAGGGGCAATGCCTGCAGGCTTTGGGGGTCAGTGGAGGATACAGCCAGTGGCCAGAGGGCATCTCCCTCATGGGTGGGGGGACACCATCTTGTCCCAGAGGACAAACACTAATCCCTCACGGGATGGGGAGGCCTTGTGCGTCCTCAGACGCTGGCTTCTCTGCAGCCCCATTCCCTGGCCCAGCAGGCTCCTGCTGTACCGCTATTGCCCCTCAGACCCCTTCTCTGGCCAGAATCCCATTACAGAGGTGCTGCCTGCCCCTTCTCCTGCCCTCCTTGGTTCTGGCAGATCCTGGCCTGGGGCCTTCGGAACATGAAGAAGGCGAGCTCCCCTCATCTCCTAGTGGAATTCGGGGAAGAGTCCCTGAAGACAGAACCCATCAGGGACTTTCAGACCAACCCCAACTTTCCTGAGTCAGTCCTAGTCCTCACAGTGGTAAGAGGCCTTGGGGCAGGGGGTGGGCAGCCCTCTTCTTCTCTGGGTCTCACGCTTCCCATGTCTCCTCGGGGCTGCAGCTCATGCCAACAGAGGAGGCTTACGCACTGCCCCTGGTGGTGAAGGTGGTGGACAACTGGGCCTTCGGCCAGCAGACCGTGACGGGCCAGGCCAACATCGACTTCCTCCAGCCCTACTTCTGTGACCCCTGGGCTCCGGACTACATGCACCCAAAGCTTCCAAGTATGGCCCTTCCTCCATGCCCTTCCCCAGGCCTCATAAGTGAGCCCACAGTGGGAGTGAGGCAGGCCCTGCTCCCCTGTGGGGTTGGCACCTCCTCCTCAGCCCTCTCCCTGTCCTGAGACTCATCCCTGCACTCTCTCCGCACAGCACTGTCTGAGAAGAAGCACCAGGACGTGAGTAAGGGCTGCAGGGCCACCTCCTCCCACACTGCTGATGGGGCATAACCCTTGGGCCTAAGAAGGGTGTCCATTAAACAGAGTCTGGATACCTGTGCCCGGCTGCGAGGCCTACCTTGCACTGTAGGGTCCTTAGCCTGTAGGGTCTCTGTAGGTCTCTCAGCCTGACTTCACATTAGAATCACCTGAGAGGTTTTTTTTTTTTTTTAACTTTTAAATCTCTTTTTTTTTTTTGAGATGGAGTTTTGCTCTTGTTGCCCAGGCTGAAGTGCAGTGACTCGATCTCAGCTCACTGCAACCTCCGCCTCCCGGGTTCAAGTGATTCTCCTGCCTCAGCCTCCTGAGTTGCTGGGATTACAGGCACAGGACACCATGCCCAGCTAATATTTTGTATTTTGTATTTGTAATAGACATGGGGTTTCATCATGTTGGCCAGGCTGGTCTTGAACTCTTGACCTAAGATGATCCACCCGTCTCGGCCTTCCAAAGTGCAGAGATTAAAGGCATGAGCCACTGTACCTGGCTTTAAATCTTAAAAAAATATTTTCTGGCCCGGTGCATTGGTTCATGCCTGTAATCTCAGCACTTTCGGAGGCCAAGCCGGGCGGATCACCTGAGGTTGGGAGTTCGAGACCAGCCTGGCCAACATGGTGAAACCCCGTCCCTACTAAAAATACAAAAAAATATTAGCTGAGCATGCTGGTATATAACTGTAATTCCGGCTACTTGAAAGAGGCTGAGGCATTAGAATCACTTGAACCCCAGAGATGGAGGTTGCAGTGAATCAGGATCATACCACTGCACTCCAGCCTGGGGTGACAAAGCGAAGACTTCCATCCTGCGCCCCCACCTAAAACAATTTTTTTTTAATTTTCTTTTTTTTTTTAAATAGAGACGGGGTTTCATCATGGTCAGGCTGGTCTCAAACTCCTGACCTCGTGATTCTCCCACCTCAGCCTCCCAAAGTGCTAGGATTACAGGCATGAGCCATGGTGCCCGGCCATAACAATTTTTTTTTATACAGATGGGGATCTTGCTATGTTGCCCAGGCTGCTCTCGAACTCCTTAGCTCAAGTGATCCTGCCACCTTGGCCTCCCAAAGTGCTGGGATTACAGGTGTGAGCCACTGCACCCAGAGTCACCTGAGAGTTTTAAAACTCCTGAGGCCTGGGCCACTGATCTACTCCATCACAATTGCTCGAGTAGGGCCCAGGCATCAAAATTTTTTCCAACTCCTCTCACACAGGTGATTCCAATGTGCTGTCAAGGTTCCCAACTAGCACCTGCCAAACTTGAATGTGCAGGAATCCTCCAGACATCAACACCAAAAGCAGACTCTTAATAGGTCAGGGTGGGGCTTGAGGTTCTGCATTTCTGAGCCCCTTCCAGAATCCAGTCTGTAGCTACGGGCAATGAAGATGAACTACGTGTCCCCTCCTTCTTGTCCCCTTGATCCCATGTCTAAAGACCCCTGAATTAAAAGGTCTATGTGAAAGGCAAGGACAAGGGCACCAGGGAAGCCCCGGCCTCAACCCGCCCCCCTCCTCTGTGAAGTCAGAGCCCATGAGTGAGCTATGGCTTTCCCCTGCTCACCCTCTCCTTTTTCAGTTCCTAGGCTACCTCTACGAAAAGTTCTGGTTCAAGTCCAGTAAAGCAGAGGTGATGAAGGCTCAGCCCCAGGGAATAAGGAGCAGCCCTAGTCAGGGGAGGGGGGTGCTGCCCCTGCCCAAGGCCAGAATGATCCTCTTCCCTGCCAGGATGAGTATGAGCACGAGGTGGACTGGTGGAGCAAGCTGTTCTGGGCCACAGATGAGCACAAGTCCCCGAAGTACGAGTACAAAGACTACCACACCCTCAAGGTTTGAAAGAGGGAAGAACACTGAAAGAGGGATGGAATAAAATCTTCCACTGGAGGAGGCCAGCAGAGTTAGCCTTGATTGCTCTGGGAAGCACCAAATGGGGGGAGTTCCAGCACTATCTCCCAGAGACAGCTCCAGCAGCCACCCTGTCTAAAGCACACAGTGCTGGCCCCAGGGCCACTGACTGCCAGATGCACTGGAGCGAGCTGGGAGCTAGTGCTCCCTCCATCTCCTAATCCTGGGAATGGTCCCCACCAGCCAGGGTTCCACACACCCCTGCAGGTGTATGACTGTGAGCTGGAGGCTGTGCCAGCCTTCCAGGGCCTGCAGGACTTCTGCCAGACCTTCAAACTCTACCAGGAGCAGCCCAAGTTGGACAGCCCCGTGGTAGGGGAGTTCAAGGTGTGTGTCCGCCCCAGCTCAGCTGCCTGTCTCTTTGTGCCCCTTATGTCCCCAGAAGACTAATAAAAGCCCTGGCTCTGTCTGCTCATTGTGAAGAAGGAGCAGGGCTTGAGAAAGTTCTGGGAGTGGAGGAGCAGAGATTCGCCTCCACAGGCACTTGGGGAGAGCTCCCCTTCCCCGCCCCACTCTGGCCTATGCTGGCCTCTCAAGGCCACAAAGCCACAGAGAACAAGCCCGAACCTGAAAGGATAGATGGGCTGAAATGAGTCCACAATGGTACAAATGGGGAACTCACATAATGTCTGCGGTTCCTTTGCCAACATCCCCCTTCAACATAGTGGTCTCTGCTGAACACATTGCTGTACCAGCCTCCACAGTCCTCACCGCCTTCTATCCCTGCTACCCTCAGCCCAGCCCTCTCTCTCCTGAACATGGACTGGGGCACTTCCTGGAGGGCTTTACAGAGCTGGCCAGCACTGCCAGGCTGGGACCCCAACACCCTCCCCCTGCCAGGGCCTTTTCCGCATCTACCCCTTTCCTGAGAATCCAGAAGCCCCAAAGCCCCCGCTCCAGTTCTTGGTTTGGCCAGAGAGAGAGGACTTCCCCCAGCCGTGCTTGGTGCGGGTATACGTGGTACGAGCCATCAACCTGCAGCCCCAGGACTACAATGGCCTGGTAAAGAACAGTCCCTGCCCCGCACAGGTACCCCACACTCCCCCTTCAACCGGTCTCTGGGGCCCCCCTCCAACTGCTGACACCCAGAATGCCAACTCCCCACAGGCTCCTTGTGTGCAAGGGGCTTGTTTCCACCCCGCTCCCACCCTCCCTGACAAACCTGGAGGCCTCCCCAGTTCCTATCCTTCCCCCATTTGTATCTGATCCCAGTGTGACCCTTATGTGATCCTGAAACTGGGGAAGACAGAGCTTGGCAACCGGGACACGTACCAGCCCAATACTCTGGATCCCATCTTTGGCACGTGAGCTGCCCCAACCCCCAAGACTCCTTTTCCACTCCCACCCATACCACCCTGGAAGTCGACTGCAGAAGGCACAGAACTCTGGCACTCCTGTCCAGCCTCCAAGTTCCCACCACAGCGTCTTACACATCCTGGTGCTCAACAGATAGAAGACAAATGCATGGGTGGGCCGGTTCTACCCTGGTTCTCACTCAGCTCAGAGCCCAACACCAGACCTGTACAAAGTTATTTTCAACAGTAACCAGGGGATGGCAAATGGCAGAAGGCAGCCTACTCCATGCTCTGCTCTCCACAATTTCCATGAACAAACAAGGGACCCATGGGGCCGAGACGCCAGTGAGGGCGGGGGGCACAGAGACATGGCCCACAGCCTCTGCAGTCTCCAACACTCTCATCCCTAGGATGTTTGAACTCACCTGCAACATCCCCCTGGAGAAAGACCTAGAGATCCAGCTCTATGACTTCGACCTATTTTCACCTGATGATAAGATCGGAACCACAGTCATCGACCTTGAAAACCGACTCCTGTCTGGCTTTGGAGCTCATTGTGGGCTCTCCAAATCCTACTGCCAGTGAGAGTGGGCCTGTCTGGGGGAAGGGAGTGGGGTGGGGTGGAAGAGTGAGCTCACAGCTCCCTTGGGACAAGCCTGCATCCTGGGCAGGAACCAGGGCCCAGACCTGCCCGGTCTCCACCCAAGTGGTCACCTGTGGTCACCCTGCAGCTCACAGTGGCAGGACCCAAACCTCCAGACCACTGCCTCTCAAATCACCCCACAGGTCAGGGCCCTTTAGATGGCGGGATCAGATGCCCCCAAGCTACCTCCTAGAACGCTATGCCAAGAGGAAAGGGCTGCCTCCGCCTCTGTTTAGTCCTGAGGAAGATGCTGTTTTCTATAATGGGAAAAAATTCAAGCTGCAAAGCTTTGGTGAGCAGCATAGAACACTACCAGAAAGCAGACACAAGCCTCTGGAAACTGAGGCTCCAGAATGGAAGAGCTGCAGACTTGGGGGAGAAAGGGGAGGACAAGCAAAGAGCTCCCTGGAGCCAGAGGGCAGCCCACCCACTTCCCCGTCACTCCTACCCAGGCTGCGGTGCAGAGGATAAGGGCCTACCTAGGAGATAGGAAGGCTAATGACCTCGCAATCCTCTCCTTCCATCTCCCTCCAATCCAGAGCCCCAAACCCCTACTCTTCATGGTTTGGGACCCAAGAAGGAACGCCTTGCACTGTACCTCCTGCACACCCAGGGGCTGGTACCTGAGCACGTGGAGACCCGCACGCTGTACAGTGACAGCCAGCCAGGCATTGACCAGGTATGAGACTGGAGGGGCCACTCCTGCCACCTATAGGAGGAGCTAGATCAGGAGATAGAGATGCCCATCCATCCAGGACATGGCCCACCATGAGAGGGTAAGGACAGGTCAAACATTTGGTAATGTATATGCACAGAAGACAAGCATGCTGTGCACATTAATAAGCAGGAAGTTCTGGTGATGTCACTTAGAATGGAGAATTTCAGAGCTGGAAAGGTCATCTACAAGAATCAGAGGCACCAGCTGTGGGAGGCACTAGGGAGCCGACCAGTCAATGTCTCCATGGTCTTAAGTCTCTCCCAAGGGGTGGGAAGGTGGTGCTCAGGTCAGACGGTGCAGACGTGACAACGCTGATTCTGGCTGTTAATTACAGGATGTCTTCCCCATGGCAAGGAACCCCAAACAGAAATAAAAATCCCCAAAGACACCTAATTATCATTTACTCCGCAGTCACCATAATGGCTCATTTCATTCTCTAAACCTCTCAAGCTGACACCACATTCCAGACACAAAATCCTCTGCTGAGCAAAATTTTTTAAAAAAACCATTCTCTGGCCACACGTGGTGGCTCACACCTATAATCCCAGCCTGTGGGAGGCCGAGGCAGGCAGATTACTTGAGGCGAGGAGTTTGAGACCAGCCTGGCCAACATGGCAAAACGTCTTTACTAAAAATATAAAAATTGGCTGGGCATGGTGGTGGGTGCCTGTAATCCCAGCTACCCAGGAAACTGAGGCATGAGAATTGCTTGAGCCTGCGAGGCAGAGGTTGCAGTGAGCTGAGATCGTGCCATTGTACTTCAGCCTGGGTAACAGAGGGAAACTCTGTCTCAAAAAACAAATAAAATAAAAAAGTATTCTCATTAAACCTGTTTTTTCAAATGGGGTCAACTTCAAAATAATATAATTAGGTCAGATAGTTTGAAAGGCAAAACGTATTTGTCTATTCTTCAAATGGTGGCAGTTCTGCCTTTTTTCTTTTTTCTCCTCCTTTTTATCCCTTACCTTCTTTCTTCTGTATGTGTAGCTAACAATACCCTTGGGTTGTAGTTCCTAACATAAAATGACCTGAAAATCTGGACTGGTATCTAGTTTCCTCATACTTGAGGCTATCAAGCAAGACCAAGCTGCTTGATAAATGAAGCCCCAAGCCCAATCTGGAGCCCCACCAGACAGGCCATCTAGCATGACCTGGGGAGTGGCGGTCACCCTCCAGACCTGTCATAAGTGGAGTCCCAGTACTGCCATCAGCCTCAAAGCCATCATGTCCCAATCTCACTGCACTACTCTCTCAGCCAAAAGAAAGGGGGAAGCTGGTGGGTGGTCGCCTGTAGCCTCACAGATATCTCTATACCCCACTTCTTACTGTTGGGAACACAACCTCAACAAACCTAAGAACCTGGGACAGGGAACCCCAGGCCAGCCTGAGAACAGAGGCTAGCAACCCCCAACCAGCCAATGTATCCCGGCTCTAGGGAAAGGTGCAAATGTGGGTGGACATCTTCCCCAAGAAGCTGGGGCCTCCTGGCCCCCAAGTCAACATCAAGCCCAGAAAGCCTAAACGGTGAGTCACAGCCCACTTCCCAACTGTTGCAGTTCACAGTTCAGCCTCCCCCCAGAGCAGGGCAACGCTGTCCTCGGGTACTGAGCTGCAGTAATTCATTTCTCTACTGGGAAGAGAGGAAGCTCTGCTGGGAGCTTTCTTCCCCTGAATTCCCCACACTGAGCAAGAACACACAAGGCAGCCTCCCAGGCCTCTCTGCCTTCACCGAGGCTGCAGCTGGGGAGCTCCTCCTCAGCAAAGCCTCAGAGCCCAGTGGCCACAGGTATGAGCTGCGCTGCATCATCTGGAAGACTGCCAATGTGGACCTGGTGGATGAAAATTTAAGTAGAGAGAAGACGAGTGACATCTACATCAAAGGGTAAGGAAGAGGAGTCAGGCTCCAGCAAGGTCCCTCGGTCCCCCAGTTCCATCTTCTTGCTGGCACAGCCCAGTCCTGAATGGAACACCTCTCCACTTACACCTGTGCCTGGTATTGGCTGGGCAGCCCTTCCCAGGGAGCTCCAGCTGGGGGATGGGGACAGTGCACATGAGCCGCAGGTGAGAAGACTCTGGCACCAGGTGGTTATATGGGCTGGAGAAAGACATGCAGAAGACAGATATCCACTACTACTCACTAACTGGGGAGGCCAACTTCAACTGGCGGTTCATCTTTACTATGGACTACCTGGCGACAGAGCACATGTGCGTCCAGAGCCAGAAGGTAACAGGCCTGGGGCATCAGGGGCGACAAACCACACATGAACAGACTGAGGCTCCTAGAGCTCCTCCCCCAGACCCTCCAGAGGCCTGCAAGCTGTCCCAGACATCAGAAACATGTCCTCAGGTGGAAACCCTCTTCCTTGATAGTCCATCACTGCTGGGAGGAGGGCCACTAAGGGGTGCAAGGAAAATATCCAGGAGACAGGTTAGTAACACGCCCTTCCACTGTTCCCCCAGGATTACATATGGAGCCTGGATGCCACGTCAATGAAGTTCCCAGCCCGACTCATCATCCAGGTCTGGGACAATGACACCTTCACCCCCGACGACTTCCTAGGTGAGGTCCTGACATAGGGCTTGTGACCACAGGACAGGGAGGTCCTTCTTACTGATGTCATTTTTCTGGGCTCAGGGGTCCTGGAGCTGGATTTATCTGACATGCCCCTCCCGGCTCGGCACGCCAAGCAGTGCTCCATCAGGATGATGGACGCTAACCCCAAGTGGCCCTATTCCCTCCGATATAAGCACTTCTCCCTCTTTAAGAAGAAAACTGTGACTGGCTGGTGGCCTTGCCAGGTCCTCGATGGTGGCAAATGGCGCTTGTCGGTAGGAGCTGGGGAAGGTGTCTATTGATTAGTACTGCTATGCCACATGTTCTGGCTCTAACAGACATCTAGGGACCTAGCAAAATCCCTGTTCCTTTCTTGATCCCGGGAAGAGGTCCTAAAACTACCCGGCTCCTGCATCCAAGCTCAACCTCCCCGCTACCCATGGTGTTCCTAGGGCAAAGTAAAGATGACCCTGGAGATTCTGTCAGAGAAAGAAGCCTTAATCAAGCCAGCCGGGCGAGGCCAGTCGGAACCCAACCAGTACCCTACACTTCATCCTCCTCTGTAAGGGTCCTTGGGGCAAACGCACCAGATCTTTCTTGCTCCTCAATGTATATGGGGTGATGATATGGGGCCTACAGTGAAGAGGTGGTAATTACCTCCCACCCCACAGCTCCGTGCTTAGTTACAATCAGCAAAGAACAGACTTGGGGTGACAGCAGGGGTAAGCAGAGGTTGTTTTTTGTTTTTGTTTCGAGACATTGTCTCGCCGTGTCACCCATGTTGGAGTGCAGTGGTGCAATCTCAGCTCACTACAACCTCCACTTTCTGGGTTCAAGCAATTCTCCTGCCACAGCCTCCTGAGTAGCTGGGACTACAGGCGCCTGCCACCACGTCCAGCTAATTTTTGTATTTTTAGTAGAGGCAGGATTTCACCATGTTGGCCAGGCTGGTCTCAAACTCCTGACTGCAGGTGATCCACCTACCTCGGTCTCCCAAAGTGCTGGGATTACAAGTGTGAGCCACCGCACCCAGCCCAGAAGATGCTTTTTTAAAAAAGAAAGCTTCTTGCATCCGATTACTTGTCCTGAAGGTTCTCTCTGCCATTCTCTGATATCTCCCTGGCTCCTGGACAGACGCACCAACACCTCTTTCATGTGGTTGCGATCACCAGTTCAACATTTCTGCTATATTTTCTGGAAACGGTATCGCTTCAAATTCGTAGCCTTTATGGTCATATTGATTATAGCACTTATGCTGTTCAACTTTATCTATTCAGCTCCGGTGAGTGCAGCCATGGGGACAGGGACAGAGGTGGTCTTGGGATGACTCTGGGGAGGCCGTCTTCACATTGCCTCCCCAGGCTAACTGTCGTCTGTTCTCTCTAGCACTATTTGGCCATGAACTTGATCAAACCTCACCTTCAGCTGTATCCTCCCATTAAAATATTCAATATCATCACTTCAGTAAACACCAGCAATGCCAGCTCTTCTATCCTTCCCACCCAGGATCCAAACCTAAAGCCTACAATAGACCATGAATGGAAACTCCACCCAGGACCCAGGATTCACCTGAGTGACATTTTCCCAGAACTTCCAGCCCCACAAGACTAATTTGCTCATGCTGCCTGGTTTTCCTCCTGCTACCAACAGCCCTCCCCTTAGGCTGCCTACCAGTTCTTTGTTTCTATCTTCTAGAATACATGCAATGTGCTGGGAATATTCTGGCTATTGTGTTCAGAAATCACTTTCAACAAGAAGAGCAGAGCTGTAATTTTCCACTGAAATAAACAAGTTTTATAACAGAGAGCCACCTTGTAATTTGGGGCATTGAAGACAACAAGAAAGGCTGAAAATGCCAGCCCTTCAGACAAGACTCACAGGGACAGGACTGATGTCATCTTTATGTACCAGCTGTGGTCCACAGGGTCTCTTCATGCTAAGAGGCTCTGAATCAAAGGGCAATGGAGGGAAAGGGTGACTCTGAATCAAAGGGCAATGGAGGGAAAGTTGCCCTTATGGGTAAGCAGCAATCCAAGGCACCAACTCTCACCCCTAGCATGCATGCACAGAACAGCCCTACCATGGACCAGGCGTCTCCCTCCTCTAGCACACAGCTGGGATGACATTGTTCAGGACAACATTCCGCCCATTCATGATGGGAATGTTTCTAGAACAAAAAGCCGAAGCATGACATCCTATGCCAGGTCAGGTGGTTTTCTTGTACTAAACATTTCTCTAAAGGACCCCAAGGCAGATGGGGACTGCATTTCATGTCTTCCCTGCCCTCTTTTTTTTTTCTTTTTTTTTTTTAGACGGAGTTTCGCTCTTGTTACCCAGGCTGGAGTGCAATGGCACGATCTCGGCTCACCGTAACCTCCGCCTCCTGGGTTCAGGCAATTCTCCTGCCTC